GTTGCCAAACAGTCCTCCATCCTCAAGGATGCTTGAACGAATACTTAAACAACTGCTTATCATTTAGGCGAGTAGTGCCTACACGGCAGAAGAAAGAGATCTTCTGCATGTCCCTTTCTCGCTTTACTTGGTCTCCTTGACAGCGCAGTCAAGGAGTCGAGCTAAAAGAGACCAACGCCAAACGGAGACTTACCACGGCCAGGTCGAGCAGGCGACCCAGCACCTGTTCCCTCCGCTGGGCTCGAGTGGTGCTTGCGTAAGCCTGCAATCCGCTCAGTCCGAGTCCCTCCGTCTCTCCGCTAGACTCGAGCCGCGTAAACATGCTCCGCGGTGACAGAGGCCGGACTTCAGTGCCGTCGCCAGGGCAGGGTTTAGGGCTGCCCGCCTCGGCGACGCCTCGAGTCCGCAACTCGGCGAGCCGAAGCCACCGGGGCCGGTGGTCTGGCTTGCCGGACTCGGAGGCGGGATCCTGAGTCCGGCGGGTCGACAATAGACTTGGCGACGACCTCAGCTCCAGTCGACTCAGGCTCTTGTGCTCCCGACGACCGGACAGAGCCGGAGCCCGTGGACAGCCCTCTCCGACCTTGGACCTTGGCGGTGGCGTGACGTGTCCTTGGTACAGCAATTTGTGCGGTTGTGCTGGCTTCGAGTTGCCCGGCTGCGGCGCCTGGCAACGGTCCTGTTGTTGCCGCCGCGACTCCGCCGGCCTGAGAGCGCGTGACAAGCTGGACGCCCACCAGCGGGAGTTGAAGCGACGGTGAGTTGTGTCCTCGGCCTCCCGATGCCCCGGCCGGGCGGCGTCCGAACTGAGACCGGAACCGGTCCGACCGAAGAGACTGACCCGCAAAGACTGGCGAACAGGAATGTCGGGATCGAAAGAGTTGGCCTTAAGGGAGCGGCCGTGAAGCCGCGGAGTAGGCGTGACGCGCCTCTGAAGGGCTTCGCGAATAATCTCCTCCTCCTCCTCCTCTTCTTCCTCTTCTTCTTCCTCTTCCTCTCCTTCCTCCTCTTCCTCCTCCTCCTCCTCCTCCTTTTCCTCCTTCTCCCTCTTCGCCTTCTTGTCACTGCCAACATCGTTGCCACGGCGAGAAGCATCGTCGGCGTAATTCAGCTCTTCTTCCACCCATTCGGGGGTCCCGAAACCGCGCTCTACTTCACTCACTCGATTGTCAAGTCCGTTCACTCCATTGTCAATTGCTACAGCCCTTCTTTGCCGTTTCCTGTATCTCCCAGCTCTGCCTGCTGTACAGCCGTCGGCAACAGTCGAAAAAAGAGGGCAAAAATGTGAAAAAAAGAGATTTGGAGGTGTTGCCACACTCGCGATGGCATCAACGTTCAAAAGGTTTTCAAGCCCCAACTGGGTCGTTTGGTCAGCAGCCCCAACAGGATTCGAAACCAAGTCGTGCGCAACATGGTGACTCGCCAGCACTCGCCCTAATTGCCACAGGCGCCAGTGGGTTACAGGAAAGGTGTGAATGTTCAGAGAGAATATCGACGAAGCAAGCACGTGTTTGTCCTTACCATCAACGATGCCACTTATATCGAGTGTGAGCAATTTGGTCGTATTGTTGTAGAGACCAGGATGAAGGCAACTTGTTCGGAGTCCTCTGCCAGAGTAATCGTGATAACTCTCAGCGTCGGACTGTGGGCTCGGTACATTTCCAGACGTCTAGTCGGCATCGTCAGTGAACCTAGACAGTCTTAGCACCTAACTACAACTCTTCAGAGACAAGTGAAGTCGATCTTTTGACCAACTGTCTGCTGAATAGTTGGAGAGAAACCAGCACAAGGGAGACGATTTGTGATATTTAAAATGTCGAGGCTTACTGAGGATGTCGGCGAAACTTCTGAGAATGTACCAAATATACGGTCTGACGCTGGATATTACCAATAGTCGAACCACTTTTAAGCAACGAAATGATGCCGCGACCATACTAAAGAATCGAATCGAATCGAAT